GGGGGGGGGCCAAAAGCCCCCTCAGCCCCTCCTTCTGTGCAGTCCCTGAATGCTTATTGAGCTTATTGTAAAATTCTATTCACCTGATGAGTACTTGGTTGAGATAAAACACCTCATCATGCTAGCTGTGAACTATTTTTTGACAAATATTTGACAATCCTCTTTAAAAAAATATGTGTGTTAACCTTTTCACACCCAAGATCTCATTAGTGATTCTCCTTACTGTCTGCCACACAATTCCTATGGTGTAAGTTTGGAGAATTTGGTATTGGATCAACAAATAATCCAGTATTGATAATTTCTTCATTCTCATCTCTTGTCTGCTTTCTACTGTTTTGATTTCATAAGGAGAAATTCTCTCTTGGTCACTCACAAGAGTTAAAAGATTAATAGCTGACAAACAGACTGGTTATGATTATTGCTAACAAACATCATGCCTCCATAATTTTTTGACCAGAAAAACATTTGACATGAATATTTGCATACTAAGTTCCTCTCTACCTATTATTTGTCTTAATTCAAATTTTTTTACTATAGTTTAGGACTTTAGTACTTTTACATATATAGATATTCACATAGTTTGATAAAATACTTTCAGGTGATTTGCTCAAGGTGTTCAAATGCAAGTCCTGATTTGAAAAATCAGATGAAAAGCTTCCTTGAAGGTATAAAAGTCAAAATTGTGCATAGTCATTCATTTTGTATTTGAAAGTATTTTTGTCAGCTTTACGTGTTGCGATGTGTTTCTTATACAAACTGCTTGCCATCTTGATTTGTTAGACTTTGGATAAAGATAGACCAACACAGTTGTGATACCCAGTGTTCTCCTTCTCAGGCAGTAACCGGTAACATTTACCGCCTGTAGTACCTTTTATTACAGATTAAAATTGCTTGGAATTCTTGAAATTCAACAAGTAAAAGGATTGCTTTACTGGTTAAAAAATTTATTTTACCTGTCACGCTTAAAATAAGGGAGAACTCTGGATACCACTTGAAAATTACTTGCAAGATGTGTCTTACATTGATAAGAGGGCCTCACACTGACAATGTAGCTATATACTGTTCTCTAGGGAATCGGAAAGGGAATAACAGAGAGGGGGGACAGAATATACAAGGGGTTAGGGGGATAGATACCCCAAGGATTTAGTGCAAGGAGAAATTGGGATAAGACGTCTAACAAGATGGATGAAGGGGAGTAATGATACAAGGCCTAAATTTCTGCCCTCTGTTTCTCTTTATGTTATATCCCTGGGATCATTTCTTTCTGTGACTCCTGTGTTTCTCCATTTACTCTCAAACACTATTTTCTATGTTAAGATTCTAATTTTTTCAATAGTTGATTTGTATGTGTCCTGTTTGCAGACAATTTCTATGTGCCATTGTTGGGTTCAATGGATAATTCAACTTCTTCCTGGATTGAGGAGCCTTGGTCACCAGAGATCACAGGTGATAAAGTGAACAATGAAGGGGCACAGCCAGGAAGCCCCCTTAAAAACTGGAAACACAGGAACAGCCCTGGAGAGTTACCAATTACAGTGAGGGCATATGCTGGACCAATGTCCCCATCAAAGGTAGTTATTGAAACCTACAGCCCTTCATGAGTTGTGTATATAAAGTACAATGCAGAATGCATGTGGCATGTCACTTAGGAACCTTGGATCCATATCAGTATCTGGGCAACTGCCCACCTACCCCTCCCCTAACTCAACAACAGTCAACTGATAACAAGTTAGGGTTAGGGGAGGGGTAAGTGGGCAGTTGCCCAGATACTGATATTGATGCAGAACCTTGAGTATGGCTTAGTTTGCTACTGAGTTCTTGGTATTTCATTTGCTGAAGCATTTGACCACAAAATGATACTGATGTAAATGTGGTTTTTTGATCTGGTTTGGTATGAACAATGGGTCAAGATGTTGACTATGCATTTCTAGCTCAAAATGAATACAAGAGAAGTAGAAGTAGCCGAAATATATCATAAATTTTGGAAGAAATTGTACCAATTCTTGACCTTCGCACTGATGCTAAGCTTAGTTACTTTAGAAAACCCAGTGAACTCTTAGATGCCAAATCTAAAAACAGGTGTGGATTTTAGAAGTCAGTTTTGAAAATCTGTGTGGAAAATGACACGGTTTGTCAAAAATAGGGTCAGGATTTGGAGAACCAGTTGACACACCCCTGCCCAGAATCTCAACCCCCTCACGACTGTTATCTTCATGTTGAATGTTTGCCCCAGGCTCACCACAGATTACACTTGGGCATAACTGGGGGGAGCCTAGGGTGCCCATGATCCCCTCCCCTCCTTTGTAAACCTTTTTTTTTTTGGTTCATTAAGTATAAAATGGTGTGGTGGTCAAATGAAAATCTGTTAGTACCCTCTGTTTGACTCAGTGTGACTCCCTTTTGAGAAGTCTCGGCTACGCCCCTGAATTTATGTTAAAGCACTCTTCTGTACAATTTTTGCTCATTTTAGGCTGCAGAGTTCTACCGTACTTGGAAAACTCCACCAAAGAAGGAGAAGTGGAACAGCTACATTCAGATAAAGAGGAAAGATGACAGTCGTGGTGCAGAAAGAATTGGAAGGTAAACTGTTGGTTTGTTTTTGCTGTGAAAATAGACCAGTGAGCCTGTGCAGACTCTGACAGTCTGATATTTATTTTTGCTATATCAAGCGGATTTCAGTCATGTGCTATTAAATCCAAACCAAGGTTATCACAATAGCCATAGTCAAGAAATTTTCTCTTGACTAGTAAAGAAATCAGAGGTTGCATCAGGTTTGGTGATTGGTTCAGAAAAATCACACCAGTTGCTTTCTCAACTAATCAGACCTTTAATTGAAATTAATCACAACTTGGTCACGTGCAAGCAAACCCATGCAAACCTGGTTTGCTTCTAAGACTTCACAGAAAGTTACTCTCTTGTCAATAATTATTATGTTATTGTCATGAATGGTTACTTTTTTAATTTTAAGAGCACTTGCTCATTGTGAGAGTGTACCTTGGACAGAATATTGGGCATTTCTTGGCTGTTATGCTGACTTGGCAAGTCCTCAGGGTCTGACAAAACTTGAAGATTATCTGGCCAACAGGAAGGAGAGGATTGTTTTAAGCAGATTATCTGTTACACCTCAGAGAGTCAGAACTGTTAAGAATGTATGCAGAGAGTTAAAAACTCCAGAGTCAAGACAAAGTAGTGTTCTTTTGTCTGACAGTGGTTTGGAACATCAAACAGCCTTTGCAAATGATGTTGACTGTTGTACTGAAAAGAACTTGTTGGATTGCTGTGACAGTTCTCCCTTGTTGTCCAGGAAAGAAATTTTCCCAGAGTCAGAGATGGAACCAGAAAAATTAAATTTTGAGCTGGAGGATGTTACAGTGGAAAGCAAACCAGACAATTCTAAAGAACAGCATATTGTGGAGAAATTTTCAAGTGGAAAGGATGGGAATGGTTCTATCTCGAGGTCGTCTCCACAAGAAATCATGAAAGATAAGCGTTATAAGCCAACAACGGAAATGTTGGGAAAAGACTTAGAAACACTTTGTCTTCATCAAGAAGAAGTTAAGACAAAGCTGCCTACATCCAATAGTTCATTTGCAGAAAATTCAGATAAAGATTTCTTAGACAGAAGCCATTCTACTCAGTTGAGTGACCAAAAAGATGAAAGAGACATTGCAGAGGACATTGTGTGCAAGAAAAAGCTGGTATACAGTCTACAAGAACAAGAAACTGGCAATTATGGTGAAGTCTTGAGAAGCAGAAATGCGGATGTTTCTGATACTGAGCAAACAGGCAAGAAAAATCGAGTCATGCCAACAAAACACAAAATGGAAATTCCCAAGGATTTTAATTCAACTGATTTGGAGTCATCAGTAGTGAATGGGTCTCCAATTGAAGTGTTTGAGAACATAACGTGTGAAGATCAAAGATTAAGAAATGATGATTCTAGAGTGTCTAGTGTTCTGGAGCAGAACTGTTTTAAAGTGCCAGGGGGAAGAAATGTGGAGCATGCAAAGTCAGAGAGATCTGGCAATGTGGTTGGTTCAGGAAATAAGAGCCTCAGCATTTTCATCCAGGGGTAAGTGGGTTAGTAACCTGTTCCAGCTTTAACAGGTAGAGAGGAACCCTCTAAAAATGTGCCATGCTCCCAATATGTGATTTGTAGCTCAGTTGGTAGTTGTGCCCAACTTGTATCAAGGAGGCACAGGTTCAAATCCTGATGAAGTCTTCATTTTTTTTAAGCTCCTTCTGTACAATTGATTAAATTTCAGCTCACTTGTGGGAAGCATTGCTCTATATGACTGTTCCAGATTGTTCATCCATAGAGATGAGGGAAATGGTGCACAAACGATTCTTGGCAGTTGTCAGGTGTAATAGCAGCCAGCAGAGTGACACTCCCATCAACATTTGCCTGCTTTCGTTTTGCTTGTCTCTAGTGAATAACTGAGAGCTTAGCACAGGCTTGTTGCTTAAGACAAGGACTAGTAATTATAACCGGCATGTCATAGAAGTCTATCCACAATTAAAACAAAAAACAATTTTATTCTTTAAATTATGGATCTTGTCATGAACACACAACCTTCCCCCCCTCCCATAGCACTGACCTACAATATTTTGACTGCATGACATTGTTTTAGTTTGCAGCCAAGTAAACTTGACCTTGATGTGTTAATTGCCATTGGTCAGACCACAATTGATCCTGCAAAATATCCTCATATCAAAGAATGGAAGAAACTGGTTATGTCTTATTCTGAGGCAACACAACAAAGGTAGCATTGTTTTTTCGTTTTCTTCTTGTCCAGCAAATTACTATTTCTTCCTTCATAGCCCCATACCTCCCTCTGACATTCCTCCATATCGATTCCATCTTCCTTTTCTTTTCCTTTCACCACCCTCAGTTGTTCCTCTCTGGTACCTGCTCTCACCCAGGCCTCATTCCTTCTCTCATCCCCACTTCCCACTCATCTTTTTTGCCTCCCCTACTTATCCTGATCCTTGTTGCATTGCTTCATTTTACTCTCTGCCCTGACCTCTCTAACTTACAACTTTAGTCCCTTTTCTATCATTCCTACCATCCACTCCTCCCCACCACTTTTCTCAACTCCCATTTCCTCCAGCATTCCTTTACGTCTCCCTCTGCAATATCTTCCTTCTTGCCCATCTATCTCTTTCCTTCTCTTACCCGCTGTTCCTCCATTTCCCACATTTTTCACCACCTGTGTTTAACTCTTAATCCCTACCTCCAACCTGTTCCCTCCTTTGCTCTTTACCACAATCATCCCTTCTCACCCCTCCCCGCCTTCTAGCTTCTACTCTCACCCCTCACAGCTCCTTTTCTCTCCCCCAATCCCTCTCTTTCACATAACATCTCCTGTCACACCAACACGTCCTGCCCTCCTGGCATTTTACCGTTTGCAGCACTGTACTGACGCGAGTCTCTTTTTTTCCAGCTGGCCAAGCCCAGGATCACCTAGATATCACACAAGACACAAATCTCTCATGTTGAGCTGCTAATAGAGCTGAATTTGAATCAATTTTAACTGATATAGGTCATTTGAAATTGTGGCTTTTCAACTGGTGTTTCATGGTTCAATTTACTTTGTGTTTACCATTCTGTTTGATGTAAATTGGCCCCTAACTTGGTGAACAGGGCATAAAATTTTCGTTCTTACCAAAATGATATATTTAATAAAAAAAATTGTTGGTTTTTTTCATATTATGGTTTTGTTAATGTTTACATAGGGATTGCAGTTCATAAACCCATGTTTTAAAACAGCAACTCTCATTTTGTGAATTATATCGCGCAGTATGTATTTACACCAGAACCCGTGATTGAGAAACTTGTGTACATGTAATCATAATAATGAATTTATAAGTAAAAATGAATAATCGATTTTTACGAGTTTGATCATCAGATACTAGAAGATTGATGGGCTTTTTTGCTTAGGGTTTAGTAGGATTGAGTACCCAGGGATATGAAACTTTGTTTATACCCGTCCTAAACTCGTTTCCGTTTCGATGGTAGACGTGCAAGAACAAAACTTTTTATCCTCAGATACTCGACTTTGCCACAGTGGTACAGAGGTTCAAAGAAGTTCTTGCGTCATTTCAACCAATCAGATGCAAAACGGAAACGACATGCCACATGGCGTGTCCCGTGCTTAGGGCCGGTCACGTGAGTTTTCTACGGGTTTTCACTGGTTTTCTTACGGTATTTCTCTGTGATACTGTTGGTTGTTGTGTAACTTAGATTTTCCTTTGATGAAACCCCCAAAACGCCTTATAAACCAGAAAACTGCGCCATAACAACTTTCCCTTGCCGCCCAACCGTTATATTAAGAAAGCGATCAATTCGTTGACCTTGGATATGTCTCTCTGTCTTGTTTCTCAACCTGCTGCAGTGATGATGAACAATATGCAGGATTTTACAGGGATTTTTGACTCTAAAGCCTCCATATTTTCTGAAGTTGAAAATCAAAACTCGCTCAATGCCTGCAATGTTTGGACGATAGTCGATCTTTTCCAATAACCGTGGGGAAACTGGTGCAAGAAGTCTGAACAGAAATCCATCGTGAGATCCAATATATTTGGACATTGGTCCACAAAAATCTCTCGCATTGCAGAGACGTATATTTTCCGCACTTTCATGCCTGGTAAGGGCGTACATTGTTTTCCTACTCAAGATACTTTCGTCCAGTCTTTCAAATCCTCTATGTACATAACAATCAGCGTTCAAAACCATTGCGTTTTTTCGAATCAAATGTTTCGAAGCAAATTCAAGGGCATCTTTATAGCGCATGCGTCGACCTAAGGTGTTGAATTCCAGCTTCCAATCTTGTTCCAAATTCTGCGCTTTTATGAAAAAAGGGTCTTGGTCTTTTTCACAGAGGATATGAACTGCTTCAACCTAGAGGAAATAAAAACTAACTTCTATTAGGTTTTACGAGCAAAAGGTCTCTGAAAGGTGTATTCATCAAAACGTTTACCTAGTTATTGATGATCTTTGTCTGGAAGTAAAATTACATCTGCTACTAAACTGAAATATTTTTAAGTTGATAACCAGAAATAAGTTCAAAACAACATTCACTGTCTTGGTTCGTTTGAGAAATGGGCGGACAATCAGATCTGCCTCTGCGCCAAGCCATTTAAAACTAAAAAAGAGAAATATGTTTAAAAAAGCTGTCACTGTCCCGTTTCGTTAGGGGAAATAGGTGCAATCTTTTCACTATCTGATTTTTTAGTTGGATGTTTGCAAAACTGAGAACCATTTTGCTCCCATCGCTACCAGAGGTCAATGATTGAATCGGAGAAAATGGAAATATCGCATTTCGAATTTATAAAGATCGTTTTAGAGAAAGATTAATTTTCGAGGCTTTCTTAGACAAAGTTGTACCCTGCGCGTGTTTAAGTCGTAATTCCTAAATAAGCGATACATTCTTTGATATAGCTTTCGTCGATATTTTGCTCTCACAAGTGGCGGTGGTTTGCAGTGGGCTTAATCGAGTAAACACGTCAGCTGCTACGGCGACAGAAGTTCCATTAGTAAGGCGGTGGGTGGAGGGATTGAGATACAGAAGAATTATATTTACTCTTAAGTCTCAACCCCGCAAGTCCTATGAAATTGTTTTAAGATTTAATGACCAGTCTAATGTTTTGACTCACATGTGGACTCAGAAGATTTTGTTGTAGACTGTAAATGTACTCGGCTTGTCGTTGTATCACGTGATCTTCTACGCTACCGGAAGTGTTCAAAACTGGAAACTGGATGATAAGGTGTAATCGAGCGCTCCATGATGGTAGCTGCCTCTTCGATTTGTTTGGAGCTTGTGCGTTGTATATTACTTGTTTGATTGAGTTCTTATTGCTGCCTGTAAAAATCCATTTAAAAACCAGTTTTAGATTTTGCACGATTGATACTTGATGGTCAGAGCCTACCGTGTAACTGAAATGTACAACGGCTTAGGCGTGGAAGGTCTGGGTACGAGACTATTTAGCACAACTAAGCAGGCTGCCTTAACTAAGCAGATTAATGTAGGGCTGGGGTAAGTTCCTAAAGAAACTGAGGTGCTGCGTTGGTGGGGGAGTATAACAAGATAATGTGGCTTTATCGTCGTAATTGATAATGTGAATTGGCCACCGTAAAGAGTTTCAAAGCTGACGTTTCGAGCTTTAGCCCTTCGTCAGAGCGAATCACTAAATAATCAAAAACAGGGCCTAGAAATTGATTAATACCAAACAAAAACGACATTGCAAATATACTAAGTTGAGATAAAAATTTTTTGGCGAGATCAATTATTTCATCGTTTTAGAAGTAAAGATGAAGTTCTCCGCGCTTTTTTAATTACAGGTTAAAAAAATCCACCAGTCGGATACGATGAACCAAAACATAAAAATGCTCTAGGTTCCGAACATGCTAGGTCGTAAATAAAGTTGGTAACTTTTTCTACGACCTATTTTTACATTCCAAAGATATCCTCCTGGATGCCTGGAAAAACAACTTTTTAGTCTTGCCCGTTCATGATTAGCAAATCTTACCTTCAGGTGTACGCATAGAAACATCATATTCATCATTCAGTGAAACTTTTGTCCTTGGAGTTGAACGCCTCAGCCAGCTTATAAGCGACAAAAGGACTGTTAACCCCAGTAGAAGAGATACACGATGTTTAGCTTTTCCACTCGGCGATGATCTGCGCTGAATTTAATTTAGTAATAGGGGTTAAATTATGCTAAAGCGCATGTCAAAAGTGAGTGAGCCAGAATATCGCGAGTTACAGGTGTTATTTCGCAAGACTTTAGATGGAACCACGAATTGCTTTCGTCGCATTGAATTCCTGCTCAGTTTGACTTTGTGAGCCTCGAACAGATACTACAAAGAGGCTTCCATTTATCACCTGGGTTAAGCTCAATATCCCCTCCAGGTAATAGTAACATCTACAGATGCATATGGCCATTAACGCGAAAGCAAGAGCTTCTGCCTGTGTTTTTCGATCGAAAGAACTGTTGAAGGATTATATTAAATGACTCCCACAGACAATCAAAACTGATCGATTCCTCAGATGGTATTTCCGCAGTACAGTGTGGGTTCTAATCGTAAATCCAGTTAAATGACAAAATTTCCAGCGGGGGTTGATGAAATATGTTGTATGTTGTCACAAACAAGTTATTCATTTAGACGTAATCAACTTGTTTAGTGGACTATTTTTATAAAATAACCATTCGAAACTATACACTTAACAAACCTGTGTAACACAATGCATTCTACCACAACACTCGTTCACTATTCAGTCGTCGATTTGAATCCATGACTGAAAAAAGAAAACTCCTTGAAAAAGCAAAATGATGATAGAATTCTTCGAAATCACGTAGTTTCAAGTGGTCGGTCAAGATTTTACGCTTTTACGCGCGAGGTGGTTCTAGCAGGTTGTTCATTGGATGTGTGTTTTTGTGACGCTCGACCGGTTGTAGCCACGGGTTAGTGATACATCTCTGAGCGGGTAGCTTGGTTTATATCGTTATTCGAGTTTGCGACGACACATTCTCAT